GGAGGGCTGCTGTGACAGTGAGTCAGCTGTTTCTGTGGGTGCTGCCCCACCAGCGCTCCTGGTATGTTACATTACCTTGAGGTGGGTAGGGAGCAGATCCAGGAGAATGCTGAGTTCCAGCTACATGGGATTCTGAAATATGATGAGGTTGTCTTGGGTCTAGAAATGTCTCTGCTTTGCAAGTTCAAGAACTTAATTTTATGAGTATGCCCAAGTTTGCATAGATCCTGAAGGCTGATTCACGTGAATCACACTCATGAAAATATGATAAACTAGATACCAATTTATTAACTTATAATTTATTAATCTGTAATGTCTGGCACTATAACTGAACAGATTCTACACAGGGAACATGATGGGCAGATGTAATATTCAAAATATTTATCAGCCTAAAAGGCATGGGCACCAGCTGATGAGATGGACCCACAATCCATTACAGCAGGTGCCGGCTGGTTTGCTATTTCAGGTCCTGTTAGGAGGATGTTGGCCCTGGAAAGGGGAGTAAGAGTTAATATTTGAGTAACCCCACTACCTTCCAGACACTAGCATAGTATTCTAAAACTAACTGTAGTGAATGTACAAAAAAATTGAATTACCATTCAATTTAAATGCGTGACTTGCACAGTAGGTGAATTATACCACAATAAAGCTGTTTTAAAAAGACAGAGATTGACAGAGTGTATTTAAAAACCTGACTCAGTGTATGTTGTCTTTGAGAAATTCACTGTGTATATAGGCAAGTTAAAAGAAAAGAGATGAAAAGTATATCATACAAACATTAGTCAAAAGAAAGCAGGAAGTGGCTATATTTTTTTAATATATTTCTTTATTGATTTCAGAGAGGAAGGGAGAAGCAGAGAGAGATAGAAACATCAATGATGAGAGAGAATCACTGATTGGCCGCCTCCCGCACACCCTCCACCGGGGAACGAGCCCGCAACCCAGGCATGTGCCCTCGGCTGGAATCAAACCTGGGACCCTTCAGTCCGCAGGCCGATGCTCTATCCACTGAGCCAAGCCAGCCAGGGCAGGAGTGGCTATATTAATATCAGAAAAAAGTGTACTGAAGAGAAAATAAAGCTATCAGAGACAAAGGGGAACATTATACAGGGTGGGGCAATGGTAGGTTTATAGTTGTGAGTATGCAAAACACAGAGCTTATTCTTGTATTATTACTTATTAATTATATTATTTTCCATATGAACAACTGTAAACCTACTTTTGCACTACCCTGTATAATGTTAAAAGGGCAATCTACCTAAAAGAGATGACAATCCTAAATGTGTATGCACCAGGGCTGCAAACTTCTGGGGAAAAATCTGAGGGGACTAAAAGAAAAAAATAGACAAATGCACAGTTTTAGTTAAAGGCTTTGATATCCCTTTTGAAAAATTGAAAGAGGAATCAGACCGAAAGAAGGTCAAAGAATAGAAGAACTCACAACACTGTCAACCAAAGGGACCTCACGGATATTTCTGAACACTCCACCCAAAGGCAGCAGAATACATATTCATTTCCAGCACCCACAATAACTATCCCCAGATATCCTGAGCCATGAAACAAATCTCAACATCTGTAAAGAACCTAAATCATACAGAGTGTTATCTGACCTCAATGGAATCGAACTAGAAATCAGTAACAGAAATTGAACTGGAAATCAGTAACAAATAAAAGGAAAAGCTCTAAACACTTAGAAAATGAACAACACACAAATCATGTATAGTTCAAAGAAGAAGACTCGAGGAAAATTTTTAAAAATACGTTGAGCTGAATGAAAGTGAAAAAAACATCTTGACATTTGTGTGACGCAGCTTAAAGCTGCACTGAATCCAATATTTGTAGCACTAGGCATTTACATCAGGATAGAGGGAAAGTTGCAAATCAATAAACCATGCTCAAACTGCATGATCTCAGAAATAAAAGTCAAAACAACCAGAAGGAAGAAAAGAAAATAATAGCAGAAATCAAAGGAATTAAAAAGAGAGAAAAAATCAATGAAATAGAACTGGTTCTTTGAAAAGATCAATAAGATTAACAAACCTCTGGCAAAACAAAGAAAAACAGAAAGAAGAGAAAAATCACCACTATCAGGAGTAAAACAGGGAGCAGCACTACTACACTGCAGACATAAAAGAATAATAAGGGAATACTATTAACAACCCTACACACATAAGTTTGGCAACAGGGATGAAATGGACTAATTCCTCAAAACTCACAAACTACCACAACTTACCAAATGTGAATTGATCATTTATATAGCCCTATAAATATTAAGATAATAGATTCATATTTTAAAGCACCCCCCCCCAAAGAAAACCTGTAGATCTGGATGGTTTTACTGGAGAATTTAAAGAATTAACACCAATTCTGCACCATATCTTCCAGAAAATAGAAAATGAGGGACCAATTTTATGAAATTAGTATAAGTGTGACACCAAAATCAAAGACAGTGCAAAGAACGAAAAATAACACCAACAACTCTCAAAAATATAGACACAGAAATCATTAGCTAAACATTAGCCAAATGAATCTGGCAAAATATAAAAGGAATTATATACCAAGTGGGATTTGTTCCAGGTGTGTAAGGCTGGTCCAACATTTGGAAATTAATCAGTATGAACCACCATATCAACACCCTAAGAAGAAAAATCAATGACCCAGAAAAAGCAGCTGACCCAGAAAGAGCATTTATTCTTCTCTTTCCTTTTAGCTAAAACCTGCCCACTGGTGTTGCCTTTCATTGGAAATGTATTTCCTTGTCCTCATTGTTCACCAGGATCCTGGGTCTTGGTCAGGACTCTCTTAGTTCATTCACATAAAGAGATTTTCTCAAATCCAAATCCTGATTGTAAGGCTCCTTAAGCAAACTGGTTTCACTTTATCTGAGTAACCAGCTAGGCATATCAAGACCTGAGGAGCTTATGCTAAACTACTAGATAAAACGATGTAGTAGCATCCCTAACCCTAACCCTACATCGTTAGGATGCTACATATTTTCCAAATGTGTGTCCCTCAACAATGGGACACACATTTGGAAAATAAAAAGGATTACTCAAGGTTAGAGACACAAATGATCATATCATGTTTGAGAAGTAAGATAAAAATAAGATATACACTCTATTAGAAATTTTAAACTTGTACATTTAAAAGACCACATTTAAAACTCAACAGAGTACATATTAACACTAATGATTATTAGGTTTAGTCCAAACTTTTTTAAAAAAATCATTGCTTAAATATATGTTGTATGAAGCCTCTCAAACCCCAACCCAATTATTCTTGTATTGTCAGTCTTTGTATTCAAATTAGTTTTGCAATACTAATTAAATATTATTGAAAGAGAAAATACTTTGCACAATTCCACTTTTCACTTTCACTGAGCTAAGTCTGTTTCTGATAAGAAATAGGACAATCTGAGTTTCAGGCATATCAATGACAAGATTATACAAAAACGCAGGACCCAGCCTCTTGATCAACCAGTGACCTGTACTCTTGGACTTTCCACAGTGAAAGTTGTAACCAGAATCTCCCTTTCCCAATACACTCATTTGTGGCAAGAAGACCACGAAGAAGGTCAGCATGAGTACTACAGGGAAAGTGAGTACAGCTTTCTTTATGTCACGATTGCGTCCATTTGTGTGCTTGTCTATTTAACACCTCATCCCCCAACTAGTCTCTGTACTCCTACAGGTGAGACACTGTCTTAATCTTAGTTCCTCTCCTCCTTTCCCTTTGCTTTTACTCCCTGTATGTGTTTTGCCTTTCCTTGGTGTTTTCAGTCCTTCCATAAGCAATGTATCAAGCCCTATATGACATCCCCTCCTTCGAAGATCTCATGGAGAGACAGAGTAATTATAAAAGAATAATTATAAGAGTGCACAAGTGTTTTCTACAGCAACACCCTGGAGAACTTGTTGCTGGTGCCTCACCTTCCCCTCCGCCTTCCCCCGCACCCAATAATTTGCAAATATTGATGCTGCTGGTCTGGGACTACACCTTCAGCACCACTACCTTACAATAATACCCTGCTTTGATAAAACAGCAGGGGGAGAGAGGTAAAAGATTTATCCTATAAAAATGAACTGCCTTATACTACTAAAAACAGAGTGTGCAAGGGTAGCAAAAGAGAGAGAGGAAGTGCTCCTAAGTTGGCTAGACTTTCCACAGGCGGGTACACTTAGCATCAAGGTGAAACATAGGAGGAAGAAAAATATCCCCTTTGAAAATCTCCAAAATATTTTTTATGCCAGGAGGGTAACGTCAGAGGCAGGATGTGATCAGAAATAAGGCTGGAGAGCTGGATAGGGAGAAGCTCATGGAGAGTCTTACAGACCATATCAACAGATCCTGATAAACTATTGGTAGCCATAACATTTTTAGGTAGGGGATTAGCATGGTCAGGATTATAGTTCAAATGGCAATGAGGATGGATTTGAAGGTGATGAACCCAAGCCAGGTAAAAGGCAAGGTAAAGACCTGGACCACACAGTATCAGGAGAAATGGAGAAGAGCAGACAGATTCCAGAAAGTTTTAGATTTAGATAAAAATTAAGGCTACTTCCCAGGTTTCTTTCTTGGGTGAGTGAATAGATAGTGCACAGGGAGGAGCAGATTATGAGTAATGTGCACCACTGGCAGCAAGGGGTGGGGAAAAGAGAAAGAAATAATGAAGTGTTCATATTTTAACATGTTGAGTTTAAGAGACCTGAGGACATTCAGATAGCAAATGAATAAATGAGTCTGGAGCTTAAAGATGTCTGTCCATAAATACAAGCTGTCGAAGTTGTCTACATAAAGGTGGAGGAAGAATCTACAAAAATAGGTGAGACCACATAGGAAGAGAATTTATAGTGAGAACATGGTGGACAAGAAAGAACTATCTTGCCACCAACAACCTCTCCAACCTCAACCTGCCTGTGACCATCACCATTTGATGAATTGCCACAACTAGATGTTCTCCATTCCCTGCTCCGTAACACACCCCTCCACCCCAAAACTGACTCTCCCCCACACCTAGGATCACAAATAACTCCCACACTGCAATGTCATTCCTACCCTGAGATAGCCACTGGACAGCTTCAAGATCAATAGTATGGTATCTATCCTCTGGATTGTGTAGCACTATATAAATATAGTTAGTATTGCAAAACTAATTTGAATGAAGAGACTGATAGTACAAGAAAAGTTGAACGGAGGTCCAAGAGGCTACACACAGAATATATTTAAGCAATGACTTTTTTTTTTTTTTGCTTGAGTGTGGAAGACCTAAGTGTATTAAACCTTCTAATAATCATTACTATAGAATCCATCTCCCAAGCCTAAAGCGTTTCCCTTTCTACCCCATGTTCCCTTCCCCAGGTGATCAAGTGCAGAGCAGCCGTACTCTGGAAGGCTGGTGCACCATTTTCCATTGAGGAGGTAGAAGTGGCCCCGCCAAAGGCAAAGGAAGTTCGCATAAAGGTAAAAAGAAAAAATACACATTTCCACACCAAAAATCAGACCTGTTCACTGCAAGTTATACATTATTTTCACAATGTTAAATTCAGAAAGAAAACTACAAAATCTTCTATTTCTTTTTCATTAAACATTTCCATCTGTCTTTAAGTCCAGCCAGAGAAAAGGTTAGGGAGGTATGGCATAGGCTAACTGCCCAAAGGATATTTATTCACAGCTGCAGTACTAAATACTACTTAAAAGAAGTTTCTACCACCGACCATATTTTAATCTGTACTTTCATATTTGTTTATGACATTCTTCATGATATTTAAGTTATCTGGAAATCTGATATATGAAAAAATGTGTTTGATTATAGATAAATCAAGTCTAAACCCTGGGAGGTCAGGTTAGGAATACCTGTTATTTTATAGATGAAAAGATTTTAATCCACTGAGGTGTAATGACTGGTTACAGAGCTAAGTAGAGTAAGAACACAGATATCAACAACTTTCCTCAACGTTGGTTACACATTTGGAAGCACCTGGGAGCTTTGAAAAATGCTGATAACCGTGTCCCACCCCCGGACATTCAGAATTTGTGATTTAATCAGTTTGGGGCGCAGTCTGGTCATGAGAGTCTTTACATTTCCACCAGGGGCCACCAGACCAGAACATTGTCCACCTGACTTCATTGTTATTATTTAATTTTAATTTGATGAAGAAGTACTGTTTGTAATGGACTACAAAGAGGCAGTCCTTTCCTTTGTCACCTGTGCAACCCATGGCCCTTCTCGGAGTCTTCTCAGGCCTGCGTCCATGCAGAGTGCACAGGACCCACATGGCCCACTCACTCCTACCCACAGGGTCACCACTTACCCAGCCAGATTTAGACCCGGGCTCAAAGGTATACAACCATTATTTGACAAGCTACAAATATGAATCTCTCACCCATGAATTTGAACAAGATACAGAGACTGAGTAAAGCAGGAGATGGTAGGCACTGAAGAGGCTGGAAGGACTCAGGACTGATCACCATCTTTTACCATATACATAAGCGTGAGAAATAAGAAATAAGAAAAAGCCTGTCTTCAGAAAGTAGTATGCACATGTTGAATCAGAGTGTAGATCTGAAGACAAAGTCTGCTTGATGGATTCTAGATCCATGAGGTCTAACTGCACTTCCACAGTTGGATTGTAAGCAATTTTACAGTATTCTTCCAGTAAGCCCCCTTTTACATGATCAAATTTCAATAGATTTCAATTCTTGATGAGTGTGTGTGTGTGTGTGTGTGTGTGTGTGTGTGTATGCTTGCAACCAACCTCACACCAATTTAGAGATGAAGAAACTGACACTCATTAAGAATAATTTATCCCAGGTCACACAGCTAAGAAGGGCATAGCCAGGATTTCAGCCTTTCTGGACCACTGCTCCAGAGTGTCTCCGTTTTAAACTGTCTGGCTGATTTAAACCAAAAAAATGGGATTATGACTTGTACCAATAACACAGCTATAATAGAAGATAGGATCTTTTTCCTTCCTGTGTTCCAATTCCTTCATTTCAATCATTGCTCTTTCTCCTCCACACTCGCACCCCGACACTCCAATGAAGGACAAAGTAAGATATTTGATGTCACACTGTGGTTTTACAACTGTCTCTTACTGAACCCATACTGACCTCCCCAGTAAGTTTTAAAAACATCATTTTGATTCTGAAATTACCTAATAAAAAATATTGCATTGCTTTAAACAAATTAACACAATAAAATTATTAGAAATAAAACTAAGAAATATGCAGCATATCAACCTAGGAAAAAAGATTTAAAACATTAACAAGTCTAAAACACCTTTATCTGAGACAGAAAAAAATTATATTACTCTTTGCCTTCCATACAGATCACGGCCACGGGGCTCTGTGGTACAGAGATTAAAATGTTGGAGAATCAAATGCAGTATCCCATCATTTTGGGCCATGAAGGGGCTGGAATCGTTGAGAGTGTGGGAGAAGGAGTGAGCACTGTGAAAACAGGTATGAACTGGCTTGGTACCTGGAGTTAGGAAATAGCAGCAACTTGGAACTTACATCAGGGAAATATGAGATCAAGTGACATAAAAGGAGAAATGTTGACCATCTGTTAGAAAAATAATAATTATGTTATAGAAAAATACTAAATGTATATATCCTTTGCATTTATATTTTGATACTAATAAGGACAAGAACTAAAATGCACTGAAACAGAGCCTGAAAGTATAAATTAGACAAAATTGTACAAAAAGAAGTGAAGTGTTGAATAATTTATTTAAATGAAGCATATGATAAATAGTCAAACAGTGGAACCAAATAGAGAAGGAGCTCAGAACTGGATCAAATATATACATAGGAGTAAAATGCGGAATTAGGTCTGGCTTTTAAATTTAAGGAGGAAAACATGATTATTCAATAAATGACATTGAAACAACTTGATAGTCTTTGGGAGAGGCAGAAATTGCATTGCTATTGCATTTTTATATTTAAAAAAATAATGCTATATGAATCCTAGAATTAAATGTGGAGAAAAACTAAAAGAACATTGTATTATTTCAGAGAAGAGAAGGAAAGTTTAATTAGAAAAAAAAACAGATGTTGTAAATAATATATAAAGTTGACAACATAAAAAGTTTTTTAAATTCCATTTATAAAAATTACTCTCCCAGCACTGGCTGGGTGGCTCAGTTGGTTGGAACATCCCATACATCAAAAGGTTTCAGGTTCAATTCCGGTTAGGGCACATACCTAGGTTTCAGGTTCAATTTCTGGTCGAGGTGTGTACGGGAAGAAACCGATCAATGTTTTTCTCCCATATCCATGTTTCACTCTCTCTTCCTTCCTCTCTCTCTAAAAATCAATAAAAACATATCCACTGGTAAAGATTAAAAAATAAAAATACCCTCCCCAAATCAGTAAACAAATTTAAAAATGGGCAAATTTCTTTATTATATAAAGAATTCTTTTAGAGCAGGGGTCCTCAAACTTTTTGAACAGGGGGCCATTTCACTGTCCCTCAGACCATTGGAGGGCCGGACTATAGTTTAAAAAAAAACTATGAACAAATTCAGCAATAGGCAGCGGTGGCAAAAACACCCAGCAGGCCGGATAAATGTTTTCGGCAGGCCGCATGTGGCCCTCAGGCCGTAGTTTGAGGACCCCTGTATTTAGAAGAAGAACTAAGATGGTGGCATAGGTTAACACCTATACATGCTGCCTCTCACAGCCACATCAAAATTATAACTAAAAGGCAGAACAAATACCACCCAGAACCACAGGAAAGCTGGCTGGAAGTTCCACAACTAGAGAGGTGAAGAAGGTGCATTGAGACTGGTAGAAGGTGCAGAGGTGCAGAAAGTGCTGGCACCTGGATGTGCTGCTCTTTTAATTGGGAGGGAGATACAAGCTCCCATTTGCTCTGAACTCAAGTTCCGGATGAGACTCTGGGGACCCAGACACATACGGGGAGAAACTGGACTATCTGGCATCGGGACAGGAACGAGTGGGTGGCTTTCTCTCAGAGGTGCTCTCAGCGATCATTGCTCCTGCATGGGGGGCAGAGGATGTGGAGACCCAGGGACCTCTCCGGTGCAGGCTGACTGGAGACCATTGCTGTTTGCTCCGCCCTGGTTTTTCCCAGAGACACTGCCCCACCCAAGCTGAGCACATCAGCTTTTGCATATGAATGGCCTGTCTTTTCTTGGCCTAAAACTGTCAAACTGCAGCTGGATCAGAGAGCCCCAGAGCTTCCAAAAGAAGGCTCAAGACCCGACAGCAGCAGCCTGCCTTGCTTCACAGCTGGGCCTCATCTGGGCACTTCCAAACCCAAAAAAAAGAGGAGGAATCTGCAGATGTCTCTGTGGCTTCTGCTGGGCGGTCCCAGACAGTGGCTGACCTTGCACTTCCTTGGAGGGGGTCAGAGAGACCATCCCAGATTACAACTCTTCATATCCATAAGAGACACACTCAAGTGGCAGACTCAGTGAGCACCAAAGCCCCACTGAAGCAAGTCCTGCCCCATAAGGGAGTCTCCTGCACAACAGATCTTCCAGAGTGGACACAGCTGGTCATCACAGCCAACTGGCCTGGAGGTCAATTCCTCCCAGTGATACCAACAGCAATCAAGGGAAAGCTCTGGAAAGAA